TGAGGTAATTTTATTTTTCCATTGCAGGGTCCCATGCCGTGTTCTAAATCCTAGATCATACATAGGAAGGAGCCCAGGAAGGGGCCTTAGCAGGAATGGCCCAGGCCTCTCCTTGGACAGGTGACCACGGTGAGGCCGGAGAGGTGTGAGTGAGGCAGATGGTCATGCTACAAACCCACGGCCCAGCACGGAAGCTTCCTTAGATGAACAGGTGTGGACTGAACAGACTCCTGGGTGGCTCTGTCAAGATTTCTGAGCTCTACACCAGCTCCCTGGTCACGCCAGCTTTTGACCTTTACCTTCTCAATACATCGCTAAGCAAGCCAAATATATCAGAGACCCAAGGGGCTGTGTATCTGCCCCACAAACCTTGTGGACGTAGCACCCCACGGAAGGGGCTGCTTCGGGGTGACTGGTCCACCCTTCAGGTGTTGAGTGATTGGCATGGGTGTGTACCCTATACTCCTCTGTTAGACTGAAACTGTGGGTCCCCCATGTTCACAGCTCCACGCTTCAGGGAGCCAGAGGCCAGCTGGCTGTAATGTTCCCAACTCCAAAGGCACCATTTCCTGTCCCTGGTTCATAGTTGGAGAACATCTGCTAAATCTTAGAGTAACGACCAATTTCCACAGGCCACTGGATTTCCACCAGACCCGACAGGCAACGGTACACGTGTTTTTTGGCTGGTCTGCCTCCACCTCCCCCTTCTTTAACCTGAGACCACGTTTACTTCTGGAGAGAGAAAGGGCTCCTAGCTCTTGTGTGCTTTTGTTTCACACAGACCATAGAAGCCAATGTCAAGTTCTGATAGCAAAGTGCACTTGGAGTTGCCTAACTTAACAAGAGGTGCCCTGTAAGAACCTGCCGCATCTATTGGGGGGGGCGGGGGGGCGGGGGGCTGGCTGCTGTCTTACCAGTGTGTATGTCGTAGGCAGTCTGTTAGAGACCCTGGCTGATCACAAACGAAGCCGAGAAAAACACTCTTTTGGAACCACTTGGACTTGGCAACAGTAATGAAAGAAAAACAAACTTAGGAGGCCTACCTTAGCAGAGGCGGCAACAGCTAATAGTTCTACCCTCCCCTCTGGAGAGGCCACTGAAGCAAACTTCAAACAAGATCTCACCATCCCTCGTCCTTAATTTTCCCTTTGAGACTGGACAGTAAACTACATAACTTGTCACTTTTTCCTGACTCCGAAGTGGGTTATTTTGATTCCATAATACAATTTCTCTCTTTAGAACATTCGTGTGTTTCATTTCAGATGCACCGCCTGCGCCAGGGCGGGGCAGCCGGGCTGTCGCGCATGTGGTCTCAGATTTTCTCTACCTCCTGTTTCACGTGTGGTTAGGTCAGCTGATGAATCACGTGGTGTTTTGCTGCTGAAAATGACAGAAATAGAGACACCCACACGGAGGGCATCTCGCATGTTTACCAAACACGTCGCTCAGAAACATGCTTTTTGATGAAAGAGCTGTGTGTGAGCGTGGCCGTCTGCAGGAGGCAGGCAGGGCGGCTGGTTTGCCTCAACACTTACAAATCGCCATGTCGTGGAAAGCCCTGCCCATCGCAACTTTGGTTACCCCTCCCCCGCAAACACACACACAACCGAAAAGGGCAGGACTTGGAAGGTAGAAGACCCCTTCCCTGGCCTGTGCCTCACTTTGGAGACTTCATCTAAGTTAGAGGCCCGTCACCTGCAAAGTGAGAGGCGGGACACTGGCCCGCTGGGGCACAGGCTGCCCTGGGCCCTGGTCTGCTCAGAGAGTTGCTGGAGTCGTCTTCTTAAACACAAGAAAATATTTCTCAAGGTCATGTCCTTTAATTACTACAGTATAAATACTTTCTATTTTGCAACACAGGTTCTTATTCTCCCATTTCAGCTTGAAGTAAAAGTAAAAAAATCCACTTACCCATGAGACGAGACCCCACCAAACGACTGGTTAGGAGGGGAGGGAGCCGTTGGTTCTTTTCACTTCTTACTCTAAGATCTCAGTGACTAACTGCTCTGATATGTGGGGATGGAATGACTCGCCCCACCCCGAGAGATCCGGAAAAGGCCGCTTGTGAGGACCACAGAGCGGGCCCTGGTTGGGAAGCACCCTGGGGGCCAGAGAACCACCAGGGACCCGCCTCCTCCTCGTGCGCCTCCGGCCCCGCCCTTCCCACCACTCTTTATTGGGAGACTGGAGGAGTGAAATGGTGCATCGACATGAGCGAAACTTTACTTGTCCCCTCCAATATCGCCTAACCCAGTGGTTCTCAACCTTGGCTGCACATTAGAATCACCTGGGAATCTTTTTAAAATCCTGATTTCTGGGCCTCATCCTCCGGAAATTCTGTTCCTTTGTGACGGGGTGGGGCCACAACATTAGTAACAAAGGAACAGAATTTCTGGAGGATGAGGCCCAGAAATCAGGATTTTAAAAAGATTCCCAGGTGATTCTAATGTGCAGTCAAGGTTGAGAACCACTGGCCTGCAAACTCATTAGTTAACAGAGCCAAATATCAACAGAACAACGATTGAAATTTCTTTTGAGAGCCAAATTTTTAAGCTTAAACTATATAGGTAGGTACATTGTTATTAACTTAATTAGGGTACTCCTAAGGCTGAGGAAGAGCCACACTCAAGGGGCCAAAGAACTGCATGTGGCTCGCGAGCCGCAGTTTGCCGACCACTGGCCTAACCCAAAGCTAAAAGTCTCAAAGTCAAATCACCTGCTGATGCTAAAACAACACAAAACAAAACACAGAACGGGGGGTGGGGGGGTGAGGGGGGGAGGGGAAGACGATCTTTGGCACAAGATAAGCCCAACGCAGGCAGCAAGGGGGTGCACCTGACTTTCACCCAATGATCTAAACCAGGGGTCCTCAAACTACGGCCCGTGGGCCACCTGCAAATACAAATATTGTATTTGTTCCCGTTTTGTTTTTTTACTTCAAAATAAGATATGTGCAGTGTGCATAGGAATTTGTTCATAGTTTTTTTTAAACTATAGTCCGGCCCTCCAACGGTCTGAGGGACAGTGAACTGGCCTCCTGTTTAAAAAGTTTGAGGACCCCTGAATTGTAAACCAGCGGCTTTCTGTGCCCAAATTACAGAATCCCAAACAGGTGAGAGGTTCCTGCCAACGTTCAAACCTCTCAACACGCCCTGAGCCACGTGGCCAGTGGGCCCATCCTATTGAGACCGTCCTGGAGCAAGCCTTGCCTGGTTCTGCCTGCTCAGTTCCTGGGTGTCTCACCGATGCCCAGGGCCACCGAGATCCCGCTATTGGGGGCAGAGCGCACACAGCCCCTCAAAAGAGCAGGGAGGCCGCGGAGGAGTTGCTCTGCCCTGGGCTTGTGCAGAGAAAACCCTCCTCCAGAAACACTGCTTTGAGCTGCCCGAACTCACCTGTCAGCACTTAAATTAAAAATGCCTTGATGCCCCTGTAGTTCTAGGTTCCCTTTGTCTACAAGCAGTCACTCAGCACGGGAGAACGTCACACCGGGTCTGTTCATGGTCCTTTGACACGAGACCCTCACAGCGCCACTAAATCTATCAGCGGAGCAACGTGCAATAAAAAAACAAACAGAAAACCTGTGTTGTCCTGGCCGGTATGGCTCGGTGGTTGGGGCATTGTCCCATGT